GAGTTTGTTTGATGTGTTGTTCTCTCCTGTTCCAGGAAGGGTTTGAGTTGAGTTTGTTTGATGTGTTGTTTTTCCTGAGTCGTGACGGTTTTTCTCCAGGTTCCCCAGTGTTTTTTGATTGAGTAGAGTTTGTAGCTGTTTGTTTGATGTGTTGTTCTCTCCCGTGCCACGAGGGTTTTTCTCCAGGTTCTCTAATGTTCCTTTCTCCGTAAAGATCAACATGTGAGTTGAGTTTGTTTGATCGACATGTTGTTCTCTTCTGTGCCTCTCCGGTTTTTCCTCCCTCCATTAAAATCAACGTGCGAGTTGTTAGTCTTAAATCGTGAATGTAAAATTGTCAATTGTGAATGTGGTAGTGCGAGTGGAGCGAACGAGCTAACGAAAGAGGGGGGAATGACGCCGGGTATATATATTAAAACAAATTTACGTAAGAATTAGCGCGTACAATGACATTTACTGGTTGAAATTACAATGGAGTTATATAAAGTCAATACCTTTTTTATGAATTCTTGTTTCAGTGGATCATGGCATGTACGACCCTAACCTTTTCGAAGGAGATATGCTTCTGACGCCCGAACAGAAAGCAGCAGTCTTGCACGGAGTGAACGGACGTGCCTCTGTTAACACTAAACTATGGCCTGATGCTGTTCTACCCTACACCATTGATGCTAGTCTAGGTTCGTAGCACCAACTACGTAAAACCCTGGGAAATGCACTCGGGAAATGAGGGTTTCAATGCAAGCTGAGTCGAGTGCGTTCTCCGAGAGGGATTATGGGTCAAGTATTTTTGGATTAGAATTTTCAGGGTCTGAGTACAATTTAGATTTCTCGTGTTGAATGAACTAGATTAGGCCCTTTGCAGCTAAACAATCACGTACTGATTAATTCACTGAGAGCAAATGAATGAACATTTTGATTCCCAAGGGTGAAATTTACTGGTGAGCAAACAAACTTTCTACAACCTGTTTCGAGAGATCGTAATAAAACTGCATTTCGTAACACACTGGATACACATCTTTTCATTCAGTTCTTTACAAGTAGCTAAAAAGAATCACCAATTTAATATAAAAACATAAATTTTGCCCTCCAGTATAGACACGTGACCGTTAACTGCAAAGGGCCTATTCCACCATGAATGATTTCAACTAGCAGTATTTACGATCAATTTACTGAGAATAAATAATTAATATTATTTCATGGGTTCTCTTAGAAGAATCATGGAATATGCTAATCAAAATATGATGCTTAATCCTCAATTCTGATTGGTTGACCTTGAGTTTGTTCTAAAGGTCAACTCAGCTGGTACCAGTGTCTTGTGATAGAAAAAGTGTCCAGTTTGACTTGGTCCCCTTGAGGTTGGACAAATAATCAGCAGATAATATTTAATAATTTATAATTAATAAATAATATTTAATAATCAATAGATAATAATGAATGGCTTTATCTTTACAGCAAATGATGCACGTGGTATGCGGGCCATCCGTGCTGGCATGAAGCTTTGGACCGATTCTACTTGTGTTCGATTCAAACCCAGAACCAATGAACGTAACTACGCTCATTTCTACATTGGAGGAGGGTAAGTTATGTCTAAAGTTTCTCTGTTTTGTTCATAAATACAGACAAACTTATAGCTATTAAGAAAATTAGTGAAGATTTTATTGCATGTGGCATCGATCGGTTGCAAGCATTGCCAAGAGAGTCAAAAGACAAAAACATGGCGGCCATTTTGGTGCCGTTAACAATGGATCCAAATTAGAAATATTTTGTTAAACTGCACCAACGTTTTCCCAAGAGGCCGCGATGACGTAGCGTACAATCGAAGAACACCAAGCCCAAACTGTACAATGGAGGATAAAAAATCAGCGAAGGTCGAACATAAAATTTTTCTAAACCGGCACGTTTTCTCGGCATATTTTCATTTGTGCTCTGACATTAATTTACATTAAAGCTTAATAAGTGAAGTAATATGCAACATACAGTATGCACCAAAACTAACAAACCTTTTTTGAAATAGCTGTACACAAGCTAGTCTACTCTCGTTTATCAGTTATCTGATTCACAGATGCGCTTTACTGCGATTTTTATAAACATGCGAACTCTATGACGTCTGTGAGCTGCACGCTGAAATTTCCATCAAACCTAATCAGTCGATACCTTTCATATTTTTGACTGGCGGCAGCGAAAAACCAAATTTCAGCGTGCAACTCGTAGAGACAGAGTTCCCATGTTTATTGCAGTAAAAATACCGTATTATTATTATCATTATTACAATATAAGCATTAAATATATTATATTTCCGTTGTAGTTTTGAAAAGCATATCTTAGCAATGTGCTATTCCAGGCAGAAAGAGAGAACCGTTCTATTCAGAGCGTTTTGCAAATGGTCTTATTGATAAAATCTAGGACTTGCACCAACACTTTATTTAATTTGAACCATTATCTTGTTGGCAGATGTTCATCGCATGTCGGACCAATTGGAGGAAAACAGTATATCTCTCTTGCCCGAGGATGTTGGATGCCGAGTATAGTATCCCATGAGATTGGTGAGTTTCAAATACAATTGTTATGAATAGATCTAATCCACTGTTTTCCCATTTCAGACCACGTGTCATTCTCTAGAATATTATTCCTTTGTTTAGCGGTTGCGCATGAGAAAACACATGAATGTGGATACAACTCAAGCATAGACTCTTATCAAGACCACGTGTCAATCCCTAGAGTATAGTTCTTTGTTTAACGGTTGCACATGAGAAGACACACGAATATATATAACTCAAACAAAGAAACTTATTCTCTTCAATGACACGTGGTCTAAAATGGGCAAAACATTACGCCCTAGTGGAATAGATCCATAGATCCATAGACCTCTTTATCTTTCCCTTGCGAATAAGATTCTTCATTTAATATTCATGTATCTTCTTGTGCGCGTCCGTTAAGCAAAGAAGTTGATACTCAGTTCTGACAGGGGATTGTCCTAAGTCTAGCTGTTATTTTAAGCCCTTCGAGAGGGCAAATTATGTGATTCCGCGCATGCTATCGAGAAGCAACAATGTTACATTGAAATTCATTTTGTGTATGACAAGCTCATCTATTTAGGATACAAAACACGTATAGTTTTGAACAAACTGCCCAAAACAGCTACAAAAGTGCAGAGAACAAGCTTTGAATATAAATTTTATAATTTTTCTACGCGGTGACAAGGCATACATAATTTACAATACTCAAAAAATAAATTGGGCATATTAAAGCAATGCAATTTAGATTGAATATTTGTTTATTTTTGAAGGTCACTGTCTTGGCTTCTTTCACGAACAGTCTCGACCTGACAGAGATAACTACGTGACAATTATTTGGAATAACATTCCCCAAGGTAAGATCAACACGAAAGGATTATATAAATAGATGGATGAATATAAAGCTGTTGTTTATGTGGCCCTCAACATTATATTCATAGTCGGTAAGCTTACCTTGTTTGAAAGTAAATATAGACTTCTTTGGGATGATTTTTCCGCCATTTCAAGCTTTGAAATATCGAAAATATGAATAAAAACTGTGACAGATATTCAGCGAACAAACACTTGAAATTTTGTTCACCATCTTGAATTTAGCTTAGAAACCTGGCTTTTGACAAAGGAAGCCCAAAGCTACACAGGGTTCCCGCATAAACGACAATATGTTTAAAAGTTTGATTAAACTTTCCCATATTGTATCTACGCTCAATTGTTTCATAGATTATTGAAAACCACTCTACTTCTTGGGAATGAATGTCAATTGGGACGACTTGAGGACTGTTTCCTTTTCCAGTCACGACAGTGCTATCCTTCCTTCCTTTCTTTTTATATGATTTATGTTTTGTAAAATTATAATACAACAATTGTGACAAATAAACTAAACTAAACTAATCTAATTTAAGCTATGAGGTTCAACTTCAACAAGCTTAGCAGTTCCCAGATCGATTCGCTTGGTACTCCATACGACTATGCATCTGTCATGCACTACGATAGAACAGCCTTTGGCTCTGGACGGGAAACCATTCGACCAAAGCAAGCTGGAGTAAGTATAGAAATAGAGAGAGAGAGAGAGAGAGAGAGAGAGAGAGAGAGAGAGAGAGAGAGAGAGAATGCAGCTATTTCGCTTATTCAAAATAGATTGAGGAAGGTTTTGTTGCATATTGCATGTTGCATATCAAGTAGAAAGTAGGCAACAAGTTTTTAATCATGTTCATGAAAGTCATACTCCAGTTTACTTTCTTTCACTGATGCATATATTTGATGATATTCCAGGTTACTCTTGGCAACAAACGTGGACCCACAGCCATTGATATCAAACAGATGAATCTCTTGTACAAATGTAGTGGTGGAGGCGGCGGAGGAGGAGGTAATACGCGTGCGCGTGCGTGCTGTAAGCAGTCTTAATGAACTCATGAATAATTCATGAGGAAAACACAATAGAAATCATAACCGTGAAGAGTGTTGTAAATCAGATATCGTGTTCATTTGCATAAACTTTAACTTGGATTTTCTTTGGCAGATTCATTTTTATCTTGAAAATTTTAGTAATTAAAAAAAAAAATCTAACCTAGACGTTTGCCATATACAATATTCGTGTCCTTGTTGCACGCGGAAGTTGACAAAACACGAGAGAAGTGTTAAAAACTTTATAGTTTCCTTGCATGTGACGTCAAAGGAGCTCAATTTGGAGGACAAAACGAAAGAATTTCAATTTCATGAGAATTGAAAACCTATTGTTATATGCACCAAATTAAGCTGCTTTCCAACGGACAGCAAGGGGTCTATAGTTCAAACTTAATTAATACGAAGTATTTGCTTTCATTGTGACCATGTGTTTGGAGAAGAACTAAATTGAGCGGTATTTTTCAACACTTCTAGATTGTTTTACCACTCTCAAAAAACTCTATAAGTTCATGCAGTACTGCTAGAATGCAAGTGTATTGTTTCTTTTATGAAATACAAATTACATAAGCCGTTATTTCGGATTGATTGATGCAAGTGAAAGTGCCCGCGCGTGCTGTTTGGTTTTATTAAGCACGATACGATGCATATCATATTAAGAGTTATTTTCTAAACGAATATAAGAAAGCATGAAATGCGCGCGCAGGAGTTATACTTCTGTTACTTTAGACGTACAGTTTATGCATGCGAACGGATAATTAATGCTAGATGCTATCGATGATACTTGATGTGTTACGCTAAAGATAAGATAACAAAAATAATAATGAAATAAATAAATGAAAATTAAATTACAATTAATTTACTAAAAAAAAATATCAACAGCAACACAAGCTCCAGTGACACAAGCTCCAGTGACACAAGCTCCAGTGACACAAGCTCCAGTGACACAAGCTCCAGTGACACAAGCACCAGGGGGTAAGATAATCTCACACACATTATGAATGTATTATCCTGTCCAAAGTCGTACATTTTTGCCTTCGCGATAAATGTAGATTTTATTTTGGTGGGCAAAGTTTGAAGCATATCTATAATATTCCATAAACACTCTAACTCGGAAAAAACTTTCTTGCAAAAAATGCCATATTTTTGGTGTTTCTTGGGAAAAGCAATGCAAAAAGCTGATCCTAGCAATAGATTTCTCTACCTTGGGCGGAATGCTTTTGCCTTTTCAGACCACGTGTCGTTCTCTTGAGAACAATATTCTTTGTTTGAGTTGTTTCTATATTGATACAAAGAAATAATACTCTAGAGAATGACACGTGGTCTGAAAAGTAAGACCATTGTACCTAAAGTTAAAGAGAAATATATATCCAAGGTGCACTACCTTCACAGAGCCCATGTCGAACGTCGACATTTTACGATGAAATTGGTCAAAGTCTTTTGGTTGTTTTGAAGGTTGTGTTGATAAAGACAACCGCTGTCCCACATGGCCTAGCTACTGCCAAACGAACGACTATGTGAAGGCAAATTGCAAGAAGACGTGCAATCTTTGTGGCGGTGGATGTAAGTACACAAATGACCACAACAAACAACTAAATTCTAACTTGTCACGATTGGGCTACCTGTGCTTTAATATAAACCAAGATATTGATGAAGCAACGGGGCTGAAAAAACGATTATTAGCGCTCATGAGTAAATTCGTGGATTCGACTGTTCCAATAAAAAATACCTATATTGAATCAATCTCAGAATCAGCTATAAAAAGAAAAAAAATAGCTTATTACGGAATTCTATCGACAAAAATTATTTAATCTTTTATGAAATGCCTAAGATTTTTTGTATGGTATGATTGTATGTAGAACTTTTCTAATGTTTGTACTTTAATGTTTTCCCCTGAAAACCGCAACCAGTTTTCGTGTTAGAGACGAAGATTTTTTCATCCCACATGTTTGTATTCTTTGCGCATGCGCATATTTTTGTCATTCTTGTAGGATGGAATTAACGCAGCATACCACAGGAAACCCATGCTTAGAAATAGCCTCATTCCCTGCATGGGGCAAAATGAGTCTACTTGTCAAATTTACATTATTAATATATGCTTATAGATGAATATTGTTATCGTTATTGTTTGAAAGAAAAGCGCGAAATTGAGAGAGAGAGACTTAATAATCAATAGACCTTCGTTGCATGGGACGTTAAAGCAGCTCAATTTGGAGGACAAAACTAAAGAATTTCAATCTCCTGAGAATTGGAAACTTATTGTTATGTCCTCCAAATTGAGCTCCATTTCGACGTGTGCAAGGGGTCTATTTAGTCACAGGTTATGGGTAGATGCATTTAACATGTTCAACCAGCTTGAGACCTTCTACTAGTTACAGTTTCACCTCCTTTAAGCTGCAGTTGCATTAAGGTGGCTGACTACTTGTGAACGTTTGATTTGAGCCCATGATGTGCGCGCGTTCAAAAACCGCTGAATAATCTTCACAATTTTATTGAAGAATCACACACATTTTGAGCTTCATTAGAGCAAAACCCTCAATTAATTTTGAACGTGGACTCTATACTTTTTTTTTTTTTTTGAGTTTATTCGAAAAAACTCCTAAAAATTTAGGTTATATAATTTTTTAAGAAAAAGTTGATTTTTCTAACACATGAAAAATAGATTTTTGTAGGGATTTTTTTTCGACTTTATGGGAGTTTTTGAGAGCACCGAAGGGGCCATAATATGTCGCTTTGTCAAAAATATCCACGTATTATTGTAGAATAATACACTAGCCGTCATTCGTACAATCTTAGAGTGTGAAAAGAACTATTACCTTATGCACCTTTTTTTTTTAATCACTTCCGGTGACGCAATTTTCGTAGGCATCCATTAAAAGCTGATTATCTCGAAAACAAGTTCGGGACACCCCATTTTTCTTTTCAGCATTAAATTTCAGGTTAAAGAAGTTTCGATTTTCAATTTTATTTCTATTTTTTTCCAAAATTGTCCGTCACCTTAAGAGCTTTACTTGTTGATGTTAAGACTATTTCCCATGATCCAGAGTCGGATCCAGGGGAGGGGTGCAGGGGGTGCGACTTTTTGCCCCTACTTCAAAGATTTAACCAATACCAAATAAGGTGTTTTCCCTTTGATTCTAAGGGGTTCACCCCTCCCTGGGTTAACTATGTACGCTGCACCCCTCTCTGAACAAATTTCTGGATCCGCTCCTGTGATCCTCAGCGTTCTCAACTTGCTAGGTATTTGATTGGTTACCAACTTTATCAAAATATAATTTGAGATATTACAGTAATATGCAGTGTACGTAGGTTATATATTAGATTTTAAAATGTCTTCTTAATTCTCTTTCAGCTTGTCAAGATACAGATAGACGCTGCCCGTATTGGCCAAGGTACTGCAAAACTAATGCCTATGTGCAAAAGAACTGCAGAAAGACTTGTGGATTATGCAGTTAGATCAACCACACTTCATCAACACTATGGATTATTCACATGTAGTTGACAATATACCTATATATATGAATAAATGATCTTGACGATTCAATGATCTTAGCCAATCAGAATCGAAGTTTCAGTTTTATTTTTATTTTTGTAAGATTTTAAATATCATTTTAGGATGGATATTTTATCGGAAGCGATTTCAAAAACTTATTTTTTATATAAAAACTTACATAAAGCTATTATTCTGGGATTTTCTTCCCCCAAACAATGCAAAAACAAGTGAAATGGTATCGTTAAATATCAAATACAAGAAAAGAATTAGTGCAAAACCAAACAATGAAAAACAAAAGACAATCATTGTTCGTGTTTTATTTTTTGATTGTCAAGTTGCAATATGCAGTCACTTGACATTTGTCTTTGAAAGAATGAACTCTAAAACGAAGGTCTACATTACAAAGGAGGTTGGTAAAAAGGTTTTGTTGCATGTTTTATGTCACTACTATATTAAATTTTTCATTTTTGCAACATGCAACATGCAACATGCAACATGCAACATGCAACATGCAACANGCAACATGCAACATGCAACATGCAACATGCAACATGCAACATGCAACATGCAACATGCAATAAAATCTTCACCAACATTTGTTGAAATAGCTGCATGTATCAAGTCAGGGAGGTGGTGGTAGTTTCCATACAGCTTAATGTTGCACTATACCCATTTACACCGCATTGCTTTTCGTGTTGGTGTTTGGTCTGCAACGTAAAAAGAGACCTACAAATGACTCTGTACTCACATACGACACAGAGAATCAAACCCGGGTCGAACTGATGAGCATATCGGCGCATAAACAGAACACACACAACCCGAGGTTACGTGGGGTTTTCCCTCCGGATCTTTTTGTGCCTTCCGCAAAACCTAACTGACACGCTAAATCCAATTCGATCTCTAAACCAGCCCTTGCTAACTTAGATGAACCCTACGATTGTTTCAGAAATGTTTTTCAAAAATTTGAAGATTTGAATCTGTGAATTAGCCAAGCCAGACATTGCTCAGCACAAAGGTTGTTATACATGTTTATATACTTATATATTATACTTATATGGGATTCCTGTGGTTTTAAACGTTTAATGGGCTTCCTTGGTCGAAGGCCTGCTCTCCAAGCCAAATTCAAGATGGTGGACAATTTCAAGTGTTTCTTCGCTGTAATATCTGCAAGTTTCGGTTCATTTCAACATTTTAAAGCTTTAAATGGCGGGAAAATCTCCAAAAAGGAATCTATGTTCACTTCTAAATAAGGTAAGCTTACCAAATATGGATATATCAGAACTGATGGCCATTCGAACGGAACTTTTATTTGGACAGAAAATTTGATATGAATTTTGTAGTTTCGAAACCTTTAAAACAACTCTTATTCAATAACTTCAAGTTTCGACCCCATTAACTCCAGGAAGAAAACCAAACTCATTTCTTTATGACAACATTAAAATTTTTATTCAAAATTGTTACAAAATAATATTTAGGATTAGAAGTGCTTGAGCTCTTTTGCAATGAATTAGTAACTGCAAAACAAAAAAATTGCCATAGCTGGAAAACCGAGTATGTTAAAATCACTAAAACTGTGAGCTTTTAAAGAAATAAACTCAAAACTCGTGAAGATATGTGATTTTTGAAAATTGAGAGTTTAGTAAGAAAACCTTCGCTGGAAGCCAGAGATGAATCCAACAAATGTTTCAATGCAAAATTTCGCTTTTTAAAATATCTTTTGTAGGTGAAATTTTCTTCAAACTTCCAGCACTAGTGCTCTTTTCATCTATGGTAATTTTTCTTCTTTCTTGGTAGTTTAACATCATAAAAGCTCATTAACTAAAACGTCAAGTTTATTCAAAACTGTTAAGAAAGATATAACGTTTGGGACCATAAGCCTGAAGTTTTTGCAGTGGTTACATCAGGTATAGAACAACAGCAGCAACTGGAGCCAGAAACACTGTCGCAGCTAAAGGCTTCAGATTAAGACTTCCGTTGCAGAGATCTTTTTTGCAACAATAGGTTTTACATTCTCCCGATTTGTCGCATGCGCTTTTGGCCAAATCGCACCCATCACTGGTCGTGCAGGACTTTGTTACAGATTTCCCAACTACGGTTTTCAAGCAAGTATCGACTAACGATGTGCAATCTTTTTCGCCTGTCTTGCAGTTACCATCGCTGCTTTGACACACGTAGCACTTGATGGGATAGGCTAAAAATACAAATAAAAGCTAGTTTGATTTAAAAAAATTTGAACACCATACAGTACCATGTATACAGTACATGTATATTGGTACTGAATTTGTTTCGATTTGAACAAATGGTGTATAAAACGATCGATCAAACATTTGTATAAAAGTAGTTGAAAGCCTAGTGATATACGTTTGGGAATCAAAGTAGGAGTGGCGATGACCCAGTCACATTTCATTACTAGAGACTCGCGTTTGAATTCCGGAATCGATATTACATGTGCATAGAGTTTATTGGGAGTTTTCCTTGACCTGAAGTTTTTCTAATTGATTTAAATCCTCGAGTTCCTTCGGCAAAATTCCAATTCGATGTGTGAGTTAGGCACACCTTGACTTAGATCAGCCCAGTGGTTGTTTGAGGCTTTGAGTTAGCCATGCCCTGACTTAGATCAGCCCAGAGGTTGTTTCAGGGTTCAATCTGTGAGTTAGCCATGCCCTGACTTAGATCAGTCCAGAGGCTGTTTCAGGGTTCAATCTGTGAGTTAGCCATGCCCT